TTCAAAAGGAGAGCTTGGGCCCCAAAGACTTGGTATTGTTGACCAAATTCATTTCGGCTGTAGGTAGACGGTGGTTGATGTTCTACGTCAGGGTTTCCATCTTCACGGGGTTTTCCCGCCTTCCCTGCTTCCAACAAGTAAACTCCTTTGAGGGCGGGGGTTAACTCATCACTTGTGGCAAGTTTAGCCCATGACTGCCCAACAGCTTTTTCAAGCTTGTCTTTGGTGATTATTTCCTGTAGCTTCTTCAGCGAGTCAATCAGAGCCAACCCTGTCGGTAGCTGGGCAAGCCGGGGTAGACATTGCTCAACTGTGTATCCTGTCGATGCTTGCACTGACTTGGAGAACACCAGCGCTTGCCCTGCCACAAAAGCCGATTCTCGAATGAGAACATTGCTCGTGATTCCTAGTCCTCCTTCTCGCATGGGTAGGTGCACCTGCGCCCGAGCTGTCCCTTTGAAGAAATCTACCTCCTCGCTCTTCGTCGGGTCTGCGCGTACCTCTTTGACCGTTGGTATTCTCATGCTGTCAGCCATTTTGCCAAGGACGATCTTACTCATTGCCCACATCATCATGTCGTCATTTATTTTTGCGGCAGAGTTGGTGATAGACGGTGTACTCGTCCTCAGCAGATGGAACAAACGTGGCACACGAGATAAACGCAGCAGTTGATAGCTGGCTTGAGGGTCGTCAAGCGTTGCTAGGCGGAGTATCAATTCCGCCGGGTCACCACGGGCGATTTTGGAAACGAAATTCCTCTGGAACTCCTCTGTTCCTACTGGGATCCCGACAACTGGCATGCCACCTTCAGCAACTGACAGACCAATTTTCGTCAATTGTTGCTGTTCGTCGTTTGTCAAAGAGGACATGCAAAGACCTTCCGGGAAAAGCACTTTGGATTTCGGGAGACTGAGCTCAATGCCTTTTTGGGAGAGACGTTCCTGAATCCAATTCGTTACAGTGGATATGGCCTGCATGTTCTTAGACAAACCTGGTGGAAGATGTGCTTGGAGGTCGTCGACGTAATCGATGAGTTTGACTCCTGGCACTGGTGGCTTGTTGTTGAACTCTTTCATGATATCAAGAAGTCCTACACAGAAGCCAAACCCTCCCAAATTGCAGCCTTGTTGAACTCCGCGCTGTGAAAGAACAACCTCGATCGAACCATCTTCCATTTTGAACAGAAGTTTCGCCTTGGTTCGAGCGTAGATGTTCCCGAAGTACTTCACCAAGTGTGGCGTATGAGTGGCCACTGCTGGTAAGATGGAAGATCGCATGCTGTTGTAAGCATTTTTCCCATCAAAGGAAAGAATGGTGCTGCCTTGCTGGTGGCTGAGGGCTGCTGTGGAAGCCACTATCTCAACTCCTCCTGGAACACCATCTCCGAAGTTTATCATTGTCATTGACCGCGCGACCCGGTTGACCAACGAATGAAAATACGCCAGCCTCAGTGCGGCTGAAAGCAGAGAACGTTTTATTTGCTATGATCTGTGACTGTGTGTTCGCGCCCGTCACGTTGTTTTGTTTATGTGTGGTTCATGGCTCAGCACCGGCCGTGCTATCAGGCGGACCAAGGAAACGATATCAGTGTCAGCGGGTACAACCATCAACGTCACCGCCAAGGGGCCAAAGTTGCAAGATGGGCGTGTGCGTGTGTGCGTGCGATTGATTGTTTGGTCGGCAACGACTACGCTAACCGGCTGACCAATGACAAGGCTTTAGCTTTATGCGCAGCTGGCCTATTCGGCGTTTGTGTTCATGCTGGCCCCTTGTCTCAGCGCCTTGCTTGCGTGTGCCTTCCCGCCGTAACCCCTACCCCCCGCCGAACGGACCCTGCTTCGCTTCGCTTGCGCGTCGGCGTGCTTGGGTTCGCGCGTCTTTCAGGAAGCGGCCGACCTCAACGACCACGAGGACTGCCGCCGCCCCAGCCACCGCGCTTTCGAGAGCCGGTACCACCGGCACGTCCTAATATGCGCGGAGACGCGCAGAGCCCTGGCCACCGTGAAGCAGGTCAAGAAAGGAGGCCTCGCCCTCTCGGCCCTGCTGGCGGCCGCCTCGGTGCTGCTGTCGAGAGCGGGCGCTGCGCGTGCCGCCGCGGCCGCCGCCGCCGCCCCACGCGGAGTGGGGAGCCTCGTCGCGGCGTTAGGGTCGCTGTGTTTGCTGGGGTTAGCCACTGCCGCGAATGCTCTCGAGGCGCGGTTTTACACCAACTTTGAGAGGCACCCTTCCCTGGGGTGATGTGGCGTGCGCGCACTGTGATAGCTCCTCGGTGCGCAGAACATCAAGAACGAATTCGTTTCTTTCCAACTGTTGTTTGTCGTTGGGGGCGACAGCGAGTCAGCGATGAGATTTTGCATGGCTCGAGTGCTCCATTGATTGTGATGCCCGCTTGCCGCGCACCCGAAGACGGCCGCGGCACGAGGACGTAGGGCGCGGGTGCGTAGCGCTAGCGGTGTCTTGCCGAGTCGCCATCTTTCTTGCGGCGTTCTCTCCAGCAATTTCTTCGTGGCGTCGCCCCAATACAAGAGCAGGGCTCGTTTCCTGGGTATGCCATGCTCGCGAGGACAAGCCGTAGAGGCCTAAAGCTGACACACGTGGTGTAAATGTTCCGGGATCGGTCGAAACTGCTGCGGACGGTTTTATTGAGCAGAGGGGTGTGGCCACATGATGTCGCATGTGCAAGGGGGGTTGTGTGCGCACGATATACATGCATGCTTTTTGTGCACTCCTGATGAGCTGAGCGGAGTATTCCGGCGCAGCAAACTTCGACACATGTACGCTGTAGTTGGGCGCTCCCTCTCATGTATTTAGTTGAAGTGTTCCCTACTTGTCATATGTTCTCCACAGATCGGTTTCGCGCAAGGGTGGGGGGGGGGGTGTACTCATAGTCGTGCATGCCGTAGTCGTTAGACCATTGACCTCGCGTCCCTACTTAGCCGGGACGGAGCACGCCGGGTTCTCACCGGACCAGGCTCTCACATCACCAAGCGCAAAGCGCCGTGAGATATTCGGCGAGTCGCATGAAGGGTGCGCTGAATCCTGCTAAGGGTGTTCGGCATCTTGTGCGTACTTCCTTGCGTACGGATGACAGCTGCGTATGACTTAATGTATTTTCTGGTGCTTTCACTTCCAGAGACAGTTGTAAGCACTGTGTAGCTGCCTCGAGGGTACTTGACCATTTTCACACAACGTGGTGCGATCATCCCCCTTGCGCGGAGTGAGGGTTCTCCACCCCGCATCACATGATCTACTCGACCACCATCATGGTTACCGCCATAAGAAAAATAGGTAAAACAAAAAAAAACGGTAACCTAGTTGCCGAGTTCACGAAGTGAATTGGCTTGTTTTNGGGGGGGGGTGTACTCATAGTCGTGCATGCCGTAGTCGTTAGACCATTGACCTCGCAAGGGTGGGGGGGGGTAAAAAAAACACGTTTCCCTACTTTACCATACAAATGTTTGCGTCTTCTCTGTGGTCAAAAGCGTTGGAATGATCAAGGCCAAGACGCCTTTGATGGTGAAAGCACACAGTTGGTGGGTGGGAGGATTGTGTTCACTTGAGAAAGTTTTCCGTTGGGATCCGCCCTGTTAGGAGTGCGGTGCTCTAAAGGTAGAGGCAACTTGGGCACAAGTACATGGCGTGTGCACCAAGAGCAAGAAGCAATTGAATCTTGGCTTGTCTGTGGCTTTAAGAACCGTTTGCGTCATCAGAATCAGTTGAATTTCGTGCGAAGTAAATTGTGGATGGAGTATCGTCTACAGAATATTGTACGTAAAAAAGGAAGTGCCTGCACGGTGGTTGTCTGTCGGTCTGTTCACGGTGGTGTTTTCTACGAGCTTGGCTTGCCAGGAAAATGGGCGGGGATGTTCGGTGTATGGACCCGCTTCGCTAAATTGGAATTGCCTTCCTTCGCGGTGTTGGGGAGACAATAAATGTCCGCCTTCATGTCTTCCCTAGACCTTTGCTTTATGGATCTTTGTCATGTCGCGCCTGCCTGTGTTGCCAGGGTGAGTGTTCCTTAGGGCGTTATGTACTGAGTGATGCGTCTGGTGCGGTTGAATGGGGTCTGGTGTTTGATTGGGAGCGCAGCTTGCCTCAGGCAATCGTGCTAGTTCTCCAAGAGATTCTCGGTACACTGCTTGTAGGAGCACTGAGACCTCTTAAGACCATAACGAACGCTCCCTCGAGAGGAAAATCACATCAGCGAACCACTTCCCCTGATTGAAGCTTTTGCCGCTTCATGCAACTCGTTTTCCAGCATTCGTTTTTTGCTACGGAAGTTTGGGTTAGGATGCCCCATCATGGGGTCACCAAGAATCCTACCCTTCCACTAAGAACCGAACGCCCAACGGCTAGGATGAACCCCCAAGACTGGATGCAAACCCATCGGATTGGGGGCGGGATGACCCGATCTCGTTTGTTTGTTTGTGTGCATCGGAAACTACAACTGCGCTATCCGGCCGACCAACGAAAATTGGTTACTATTTGGTCAATATTGTCAACACGGGTGGCGAGCCTGCCCGTCCTGTTCACAACGCATTCGTTTCGGGTAGGGGGTTCGCTTAGCAAGTCCTTTGCAGGGACAGCGGTTGACGATATCATGAAGATCGGAGGTTGAAAGACTGAGTCGGTGGCGAGATACAAAGAATGTTCGTGCCACCACTAGCGCTACGGCAAGAGGTAGCAAGAGGGAACGAGGCCAGAGTTACGCAGATGCTAGCGAGCTGCCTCTGTCTCCGGCGTTCCAGCAGGACTTCGCCGCGTGAGCAGGTCAAAAATGCCCTATTTGCACCATTCCCGAGGTTAGCAGTGTTGAGAATGTTAAGTCGGTCTGCGACGGCCATTTCGTGGTCAAAATTCTGGTACTCAACGGAGGCAATGAAGCATGGGCGGGACCACAGGCCGACGCAGGAGGCCTCACCCAAATCCAACACTTTCATTCAATGATTCTCGTTAGACAGAGTACTAAAATACTTAAATTATTACACCCAGGAAGGGCCCAGAAAAGCAAAACAGGCTATTTCACCTCACAGTTCTCAAGCGTAACGCCTACAACATTCACCAATATTTATGTAGAGGGTCTCGGCGCGGGATCTTCCGAACAAAACCGTTTTCGGATAATCTCCTACTGTGAGTCAAATTCTACTTCCGGGGGAAAGATCTCTCTGTGTTGGACAATATTTTGCTAACCCAGGACAAAGTAAAAAATGTAAACCCCACAATGATACACCTGTCCATTGCTCGCACCAGCACAATTCCCGCCACTATTTATTCTATAACAAAACTCAAGCACAAGGTTGTGATGAAACATTTGTCGCATCTCATCCGTGCTGTTGGAAGGCAATCTTATCTCCAGGTCGACGCGGAAGGTTGATGACCATTGATTATGACAACACACGCCCCAACAACAACGACTTGAAAAAAATCCACATAACCTCGATCTTGCGACAGCTAGCACTTACGGGAGCACAAAACTATGGTGTTTTTCCCAAACCTCGCAAGGTCCAGGGCTTACTAAAAGGACGCACCAGTTATTCTAGATGGGCGGCACAGCTCATGGAGGGGGTGAAGCTTAAGCTTTCGTGAACCCTTAGGAATATTTTCAAGTCACAACTCTTTGGCCCCTTCCGTCCCCTTCAAGAGGTCTACGGGCCTGGTTTTCCGACAAAAGACGAAAGCGCTCAACCACTCTCTCCAAGAAGCCACAGGCTGACTAGGGTCATGACGACCAGCATTCCAAACACTCTGGTATAGAAGGCCTCGGGCATCGTAACCCCGAGCCCAAAGGACACCACGGGCCACAGGGAGTGCAGGGCAAACAGGGCCGAGCCGATGCAGCTTACCCACACCCATGGCTTCTCGTAGCTGCGCGCTGCCCAGTCGGCTGTGTTAAAGCATACGGCGGTGGTGATGGCGACGAAGTGGAGGTACAGTGGCCACACGGGGCATTTACACTCCCAGGCGTTGGACGGGTCCTTCCGAGTGATGGTGCCCCAAACCGCGTGCATCACGGCGTAGATTTGAACGAAGGACGTAGCGAACCAGATCTGTTCGTCTCGCATCACCTACGAAATTGAAAACGGTTTTGATGTTGGAGATGAGGTGGGTTTCCTACCGCGCATGGCCAAGGCTTCCTGACTGTGGGACCCTCGCACCTGTAGAAAGCCGAGGCGCAGCAGGTCCGCAATCAGGCAGAGTGAACCCCGGCCAGATGGGGGGTCAATTCAACCCTGATTGTATGTACAAGTGGATGGGCCTGAAAGAACAGATGTCGATTCTCTTACGAAGCAGATGCCACTCCATTCGTGAGGGACAGGTCGCAAGATGACATGAGTGTGGTTGACCCGAAAAATAAATTCGAACGTGTACAAAAATACAATATTCATTCTCGAGAAGCAGGCTACGAACACCTCGCGACGCTTGGGGGAGTGCGAGCCTGGCCGGAAGGACCGCCACGCGTGAGTTGTTCCGTTTGAGGCAAATAAATGTAATGGATTCGCAAGAACCTACGTTTTGACCATGCAGATGAAAAATGCGGAACATTGTCAGGGCGCGTTACGACACTGCACCCCGCCGAGACAACGGTACATTTGCCGACACAAAGGCGCAAACGCTGGAGACATTTGAACGTTGCGACGGTTTCAAAGCGTGCGCTAACTTACGCGGACCCGTGTGTCGGCGAAATCAGTCTCGAAAATGCACCCCGAAGCCAGCGTGTGTAGTCTATGCAAGAGATAGGGAATACCTTCGAAACATCGAATTGTCTTAAGTTATTCGTTGTCTGAAAGGGGTGTGTTGAAAGCCACCTTTGCGGACGGTGTCTTCTGCCAGCCAAGCGCAGCAACGGTTGGGAGCACCCCCGTGATAATAAAGGGGAAGAAGTACAGGGCGAATTCGATGTTCCATGTGTTGAAGGGCGCCGAGTTTGTGAAGCCGTAGACGATGGGAAAGATGAGCAGAATCTCCCCGGCGAAGGCTTGCAAGAAGTAGCTCACGGCATCAAACGCAAAAACCTGATCGACACACATGGCAGAGAACGTATCGCAAGTGATTCAGGACAAGGAGAAACGGTGCCTTACAGGACGCCGTGAGAGTTGCTATACCGAGGATTTGTTCGCTTGTGAAACCCGTGGTGGCCTTTTCATCAGGTATCGAGCTCGAAGCGCTCGCCTAGGGCACATCAATAGGCTACCACTCATCTACGATTACACTCTGGTGTCCAGCTTCTCCTGTACGAAACGCCTCTCTCTGCAGGAGTGTTATCGCGGTCAGTTTGGTATTGCCCACAGACAGACAGGGGCGGCCTGCAGGATTTGGAGGTGAGTGAGGCTCACAGAGGGGAGAGAGCGAAAGACTGCTCCGTGATCGATCACGATCGTTTTAGACGGCGGCGGAGCGGGCACGAAAAGCTAATTCAGAAGCACAACACCGAGTATTCCTTGCCTACAATGCACTGCCGAATTTTTTCGGTGGGTCGAAAATGTCATGAGGCCTGTATGAGCTATCAATCGTTTGATTGTGATCTCCCCTTGGAAAAGCTGACGTTGTGATGAATTATGGCTCCACTTTCCACGCGATCATGACAACAACGAACACTGATGTCAGTTTGAAGTGCAGTGTAGATATACAGTAATGTAGCTTGCCCATTACTTGCCTTTTGGAAGGTTGTGCCCCAATTGTCTCCAAAGACGGCATACCCCCAGCCCTTCCACATCGCGAGCTGAACCGCCCCTTGGTGCCACCTATTGTAGATTTTTTTCCGGATTTTTGGAACAACAAGTTGTCGATCGCAGCCATGACACGAGCTTCACAAGGGGGAAGGATCAAAATAGAACATGCTGGCACTTGGGTAAAAGACTCTCCTGTGGTCACGATTGTTGATTTCGTCTTGAAAAGGCCAGGCATTCGTTCAACTGAATGGGTAACCCATCTGATCTACTATGGACGTTGACTCAAGGCCTTTCGGAAAGTGTTTTTCATAGCCCAGCCGCGGTTATACAGACGGAATACTTGAGATTCAATTCCCGCTCAACTTTGCTTCTGCACTGCTTTTCGTGGAATATATTGCGAGAATGATCAGGCGGGTCGTTTTCCTCGTCGACCTTCAAGTCGAATTGTTTGCTTACACACCAACTACACCACAAGCGATTCCACAGGTGTCCAGGAAAAGTCGGAACCAATCCCAGATCGTGTGATTGCTCCGAGCTTTGAACCCACTTCCCCAAATGTCAGAAAGCTGAGAGGTTGTAGCGTATGACCACCGAGTCGGCCAGGTGAAAACGCAGCCGAACTTTGTCTCCTTTTGCATCTGTCCAATCATACAAATTGGCCCATTCTCCTGCGCCCTTCTTGAAAATTGCCTTGAGGAACAAACTTGGCGCTTCTAACAACCGCTACTCACCTAAGGACTTGCTTCCAACGCCATTTGACGGTATCAGGAGGAAGCGTGCAGCATGCTAGTCTCTCCTGGACGGATGTGACGCACGAAGCAAAGTCAAGCAAAACAGACAGAAAGGTGGTTGTGCCCTTGTTGGAACACGCTGCTAAAATTCCAATATCGTTGTAACCCTAAAGGTGCGTGCCTTCACTGTAGTTATTGCCGCCATTAGGTCAGTTGAAGACATTCTCCCGTGTCTCGATCCGCCGATCCACACTAGTCATACTCCAGCATGTTAACGATCATGTCTTTCGTAGTCGTCGTTGCCATTTACTCAGGGGATTTCTCCACCACGAGACAAGCCACAGCCAGCCGGCGAGTAGAAAACATGCCATGGCCTCGTACAAGTACATCCTCAACTCTTGACTTCACAGCGCCTTCGTTGACAGTATGTGGAATAACACTCACGTTCGGAAAGTTGACGTACACGGACTTCCAGCCTTGCCTGAAGAGGTCGATGGAGGTGTGCGTGTCCTCGATCAGTACCTCAGCTCGAAAGCCGAGCCCTCCTTGTTGCCCGACCTGCCGTTAAATTATCCATGGTGAAGGAATCGTATGATATGTAGAGAATTGGAAAATCAGTTAGACGGTTTCCCTCCTTCGGAACATGTATGTTGTCGTCCTAATATTCGCACGACCCTGTGAGATGTTGTTGTTGTTGTTGTTGACTTCACATTAAACCGTATGCCAGTTGCTAAATGCCAAAATCTAGCAAAGACTCTCAGCCCGTGGTCACGAAAGTGCTAGAGCCATCTGAGGATCTAAAGAACACGCACACGTAGCAAGAAAAAGGT